TTAAAAATGTAAAAAAAAAAAAACATAAAAGAATGCAGAAATAACACATGGCTTCTTTATATTATCTTGTGTGTGTGTATATATATATATATATATATATATATATATATACACACACACACGCACGCTATATATATATATATATATATATATATATATATATATATATGTCGTCATAGTTCTAGAATCAGTTCAAATCACTTAGCCATATTCTAATTATACCTTATAACTATCACGTCATTATACATGCATGTGTAATATAGGAATATATAATTATTACATTTATTAAAAAACAAAGGTAAATAATATTTCTGCCCACTAACTGCATTCCAGGTGAAGCGCTCTGCTCGTATGTGTGGTGAATGTGAACCCTGCACTAGGACGGAGGACTGTGGTCAGTGCGACTTCTGTAAAGACATGAAGAAATTTGGCGGCCCAAACAAGATTCGTCAGAAATGTCGTCTAAGGCAGTGTGTTGTCCGTGCACGGGTAAGTGTTTATTTAGGTGGTTTATTATTTAGTTTTTGTTTTGTTGTTAATTTTCTCTCACAATGCTTTTGCAGAAAATGCTGCGTGTTCGAGACGAGGAGTTTTCTCTGTGTGAGAGAAAGGACAATATAATGCACAGGGATAGACGATACTCAGATGATTATGATGAGAACGATATGGAGCCATATGAGCATTACAAGGACAGAAATGCGGTAATGACTAATTGCTCTAGCTTAACCACAACCGCTTAGTATATACATTCATTTGAGCTCTTGTCAGGTTATAAGACATACTTTGACATTAGTAATTTTGTGAGATATGCTTATTGGGGATGTTGCTTTAAGTCCAGCACTCATAAACAAACCTCACCCTTCTCTCGTGACCGTTTTTTGTTTGTTTTTTAAGTCATGGGGCAGTGATGATGAAGACGGCCCACTTTGCAGTCCTGTCCCACGGAAGAAAGCTATAAAAGTCAAGCACGTCAAGAGGAGAAACAAGAAATTTGACAAAAAGGTACAATGAGAAACACGGTGTTGCTTAACCCTTGTGCTATGCTGACAGTCCTTTACCTAATTTGGTGTTTCCGGTCAAAAATGACTGACCATTTAAAAATTTCTTGTAAATCTCTTGTTATGCTATATTATCAAACCAAATCTTAAGCCCTATTTGGACAGGACTAGTTTTCCAGGGGGACGTTACAGAAAGTTGTGTTGCACAGACTTATGGTGCTTTTCCACTGCATGGTACGGCACGTTATGGCTCGCTTTTG